TAATAATACAAACTATAATTTAAAATCTTTATTACTGATTTTTTTTATTAAGAAGATTAGGTATACACAGCAATGTACTACTACCCTATTCTATATGGAATATTACACAGTGTAGATAAAAAACTAGCTATAAGTTTATCTAATACTCCCATCTCACAGGATGGTTAGACATACTGTACATGGAATCAATTTAGAAAATACCAGCCTCAATACAAAAAACAAATCAACTCTGACTAAACAACTCTAAGCAATTTTCACAAGAGGTAAGCACTGAATCATGGAAACATTATATTATAATTACTCTTACCAGTTTCTACAAGACTCCTCTCAAACAATGTATTTTTAAACGTTTAGGTATACACAGCAATGTGCTGCTTATCTATTCTGTATGAAGGACCACACAGTGTAGATCAAAAACCAGCTACAAGCTCACCCAACATCCTCACCTCACAGGATGGCCAGTCATACATAGAATCAGGAGAGAACAAAATACTTAATGCTGATCTATTAGCCTCCACTGGCAAAATCTGGGTGCAGCACAAGAATATCTTCCAATATTCCTGAGTGTATGAAGTAATTACAGAGCTCAAAATACCTCATACCATTTGGTATGAAGTCACTGATAACAGGACAATCACAGATATAGTGTTGGAGAGTATGTTCTCTCAAGTAGGACTGAAAACAAATGTTTTCTTCCACCAAGAGGGCTATAAACCCATGGAACCGCCTACCCGCTGAAGCCGTAAATGCCAAATTCCAGCTAAAAAATATCATTAAGACAATTGGTGGGCCCTTTAACAAGCCGCCGGCTTTCTGTCCTCTTCGAGGCCACTAGATAGTTAGTGGCCCTTGGGTTCTTAGAATTACGTAGGTAAACAACAAATGTAACATATTTGTTTACTACAATGTCGGTGCTGGCTGTAGAAGTTGAAAAAACATTGTTTTACTTCGAAATATAAAATTTCTTCCTAAGTGGACCTTATTGAATCGCACCTAAGCATCTTCTTAGGGCGCACTTAGGAACCTTCGTAGCAAACCCACTTACGAAGAAATACACAGAGCTTCCTGAATCGGTTAGGCCCCATTTAGATTATGCAGTTCAGTTTTGGTCGCCGTACTATACAATGGATACAAATTCACTAGAACACGTCCAGCATAGGATGACAAAGTTAGTCCCGCAAATTAGAAACCTCTCATACGAAGAAAGATTGACAAAGTTTAAATTGCATTAGCTGGAAAGGCGAAGAGTTAGGGGTGACATTTATTTATTTATTTATTTATGCATATACAAGATGTACATAAGGAATGTGAGGATACAAATATGGTAATTACAGTCTTGTAAAGCCACTAGCACGCGCAGCGTTTCGGGCAGGTCGCAGCGTTTCGGGCAGGTCATGATAGAGGTGTTTACTGGTTCGGTAACAGGATTGTTGATTTGTGGAACCATTTACCGCGTAAAGTGGAGGTGGGGTCCGTTAATTGTTTAAAGCGTGGGCTGAACAATACGCTATGCGTATTAGTGGCTTTAGGTATTGTATGCACTAGCTCTATAAATCCAACATTATGTTTGTAACACATCATCTATGCCAGGGGTCTCCAAACTTTTCAATGTAAGCGCCACATTATATATTTACCATATTTATGCGGGCCGGAGGAATAAAAAATGAAAAAAAACAAAAAACAAATCAGTGCCAGTAATTTAATTTCCTCAAATATTAAAGTATAAACATGGAAAAATTAAAACATATCTTTTTGGAAAAAATTAGGGTAAACTAAATAGATTCCTGCCTTTAGTTTTATGCAACCAAATTAGTGTGACGAATGATACTGTCGTTTTGACTTCAAAATTTCATTAAAATCAGGTTCCAGATTAGATGAGCCAATTGTAAGAATTGATTTCAAGTGATCATCAGACAAATTTGCTCGATAGTTAGATTTCACATACTTCATTTTGGAAAAAGTTTGTTCACACAAGTATGTTGAACCAAAAATGGACACAAAACTACAAGCAAACTTTATCAAATTTGGAAACTGATCTGGCTGCAGGCATTTATACAACTCAATCAGATTTCCTTCTCTATACTTATCTTTCAGCCTGTCATCTGCCTGGAGATCAATAATTTCCATTTGAAAGATTTTGTTGCATTTTTCCAACTGGAAGATTTTCTTCCAGTTGGAAGATTTTCAGCATTGCAGTCAAATGGATTATGAAAGAGCCTGATTTCATTTGCTTTGGCATCAAGGTCAGCAAATCGCTTCTGAAACTGTTTTTTTTCAAATCTGAAATTATTTCATTTGCAAATGAAAAAGGAAATTCAACTTTACTTTCTGCATGAAATTTTTCACAACATGGAAAATGAGCAAAATTCTTAACCTTCACCTGGCCTTCAAGTAGCGCAAGTTTTGCTCTGAATGCCTTGACATGAACAAAGTAGTCACTGATCAAATTTGTTTTGCCATGCAATTTCAGATTCAAGTTATGATATTGATAGTGATTAGTGATAGTGATAGTTATGATAGTTATGATACTCAAGTTATGATATTCAAGTTATGATATTGTTATGATATTCAAGTTATTTCAGATTCAAGTTATGATATTGCATATGACCTGTCATATCTGCAAAAAATGCCAATTTCCAAATCCATTCACATTCTGATAATAATGGCTGAGGTTTATTTTTCTCTGTGAGAAATAAATCAATTTCTAATCTGAGCTCAAAGAAATGCAGCAAAACCTTTCCACAACTAAGCCATCTAACTGCTGTATAATAAAGCAAGTTAACAAACTCCGCATCAATTTCTTTCAAGAAATCACGGAACTGGCGATGGTTGAGTGCATGAGATCTAATGAAATTAACCACAGAAACAACAGGTTTCATGACACAAGACATATCAACATATTTTAGGCACAATGCTTGTTGATGGATAAGGCAATGCAGAAAAATGGGTTTTGAGAATCCTCCAACCTCACAAGCTGTTGTAATTTGCCCAACCAAACCCTTCTTTGTCCCAGACATATTCTTTCCTCCATCAATTGTCACACACTGCACTTGTTTCCATTCCAGGTTATATTCTGTCATAGTTTTACTTACTTCATTGAAAATGTCCTCTCCAGTTGTTGTGGTGTGCATGCTGTGAACTGATGCTAATTCTTGGCTCACATTAAATTCACTATCAACACCACGAATGAATACTAAGAGCTGAGAAGTATCACACACATCAGTTGATTCATCCAACGCAAGAGAATACCAACAAAATCTTTTTGTTTTTTCCTTTATTTGCCGAATTATGTCGCCTCCTAAATCTTCAATTCTACGAGCAACAGTATTTGACCCAAGACTTATCATTTTGAAGAGGTTTACTTTTTTCTGGACATACCTCTCCTGCTGCTTCCACTATACACTCTTTTATGATACTACCATCAGTGAAAGGTTTTCCTTTTTTAGCCAACACAAAGGCAACTTTGTAACTGGCTCTAGTTGAATTTTCATTTTCAGATTTTTTCTTACTGAAAACAGCTTGTTGAGAATGCAGACTGTGCTGAAATGATTCAAACTTTTTAGTGCGTTCTGCTCCTGTGATGTGAGAATAACTTGAGCCATGTTTAGATTCATAGTGCCGACGAATATTGTATTCCTTCAGAACAGCAACACTGTCTCTATATATTATGCATAAAGCTTTATCATTTGCTATCACAAAAAAGTACTTTATCTTCCATTCGTCATTGAACCGACGGCACTCACTGTCCAATTTTCTTTTCTTTATCTTTTCCATATCTGAAAACATAAGGGTAAAATAAATGAAATAAATTCTACAGGAAAAAAACAGCTTGTATGTGGTGTTAAAAAGCATAGCATATTATTATAAAGTGGTAAATATTATGGCAACAGCTTTCGTTGATAAACTTAATGGTTACCATTTTAACTATTTTAAACATGCAATATTTTTGGCTACAATAGTATTATTGCTATTTTGTATAACTAAGATAAAGGCATTGTCAAAGTACAGAGAAAAGAATATTGTACAGTGTTTGTGCTCCCTGAAACGGAAGCAGCGAAGCCCCACTCGCCCTCCATCCCCACAATATACAGTTATACACAACTGATTGGTTGTAATGCACAACACATACCTACCAGTATTAGTATCTGTGCGTCACACTATCGAGAGAGAGGAAAACTGACTCGGGTTGAGCGCCACCAGTCAGCAGCCCCAGCTTTGAATAATTCTGCGATGCCATTCGTACGATAATTATTTTTTCAAGGCCACCACACAGGGATTTGTTTGGAGGGCCGGATGAAATTATGTGGCGGGCCGGATGTGGCCCGCGGGCCATAGTTTGGAGACCCCTGATCTATGCGAACAAGCCTGAATGGTCCCCAGGACTATATGCGACTGAGACTGAGTAGACATCATCTATGTATGTACTTTTCCCGAATAAAAATTTGAATTTTGAATTTGACATGTATGTGGGTGGGATATTGCGTGGTTATAAATAGGAGATGCCTCGTATAGGCCAATAGGCCTTTTGCAGTTACCTTAATTCGTATGTTCTTATATAACATAATGATGTTATATAAGAATATAAGGTTCAGGTTCATGATACAGGTTCAGGAGCTTGTACACCAATTGATTGACAGCTGAGGGGCGGGACCAAATATCAAAATCAAAAATCAAAATCAGAATCAAAATGTTTATTCAGGTAAAGTACATACATACACTGTGAGATACAAACATTGATGGATTTATTGATAGAGCTAGTATATATAAAGCCTAAAGCCACTATTACGCAAAGCGTTTCGGGCAGAAATAGTCGAAGCTCAGCCCTGTAAGCACAACTAGGTGAGTCCATTGGCATGACCATTAGGGTGTGCGCCATCTATATTTTGACAGCAGCACTACACATTAACCCCGCGTTATTCTATATCCAATACATGAGTGTTATGGTCAGTTGCTAGTCTATATATGTTTCTGGACAAAGTAAGTGATGTGAGGCTTGTTGCGGGCCAAGATCGGTAGTAACTGTTTGTATTGTGTTGGACGAGGGTGTGTTGGCCAGTGTGGTAGACTAGCGGGTAAGTAGCGAGTATTGTAGCTTTTAAAAGCGCGTCTTTGTAATTCATTTGTGCTAATAACCAACTTTAGGCTATTTAGTTAGGTTTTTTTTGAGATTTATTTAATGGGTATCGCTAGTAATATAAAGGGGGGGGGAGGGAAATTGTGTAGATAAAAGTAAATTACCTGTGTAAGCTACATACGGTTTGAAACATAATTGCTCAGATCGTTATCTTGCGGAATAACTTAAGCTTTTTTAGGGTTGATGGATGTTAATCTTCGTTTGAAGAGCTGTTAACTTGACAGTTAAGGAAAGTTCCAGCTGTGTCTGGGTACAAGTGACAGGATGAACCCAGCGGGTTTTCTTCCTCTAGGCGAGTGTTGTACATGCTGCTATGGCGGTGTGTCCTCTCACAGGATGAGTGGCGCTGCCCAATACTGTCACTATGGCGGTGTCCACTCACAGGATGAGTGTCACTATGGCGGTGTGTCCTCTCACAGGATGAGTGGCGCTGCCCAATACTGTCACTATGGCGGTGTCCACTCACAGGATGAGTGGCGCTGCCCAATACTGTCACTATGGCGGTGTCCACTTACAGATGAGTGACGCTGCCCAATAAACTCGCCCCTCGGGCAAAATTAAAAAAAAAAGTGCCAGAACCCTTAGTGACCTTGGAAAGGTCATATAGTCATGGTCTTGACAATTCCCGCACTTTTGAAAGCGGTTTAAACAGTACGGCTTCGGCGGTTTCATAGGCTTATACCTATGTGGGAACATGTCCTAGCAACCACGTTAGACGCTTAATCTGATTGTTTTGAGCTTTTAAAAAGCCTCTTCAGCACAGGCCGTCCCTTTAATTACGCCTAACGTGCGGCTGGAGTTTTTAAGTGTACTTCTCGGTTAAGGACAAAGACAAAAGGTCATGTATCAAATAGATTAGGGAAAGTTTGAGGTCTATCTAAAACTGTCAGAAGTGATAACGGAGATAACTAGGTTTTTATTCTGTATTTAGTAAACATTATCAGCCGAACAAGACTTTGGGAGTACAGGTTGGCTAATTCAGCAGTTACCAGGGAGGATGGTGGTTTATTTAAACAAATGGTAACTAGTCTGATAGTTTTTGCCAGGGTGCTTAAAAAAAGGGCAGCTTTGAGAGGTTTATCACTTATTAGTCAGGCAGTACTAGACGTGTGAAGTACTAATGTGGTACCAGTTTCAAAGGAAAACGAAAATTTGAAAGGATTTTTTTTATAAATTATTCTAAGGTTACCTGATCAACCAGGCTGTGACTCATACGTCAGGCTGCGAGCAGCCAAGTCGAACAGCCTGGTTGATCAGTACAGCAACCAGGAGGCCTGGTCAACGACCGGGCCGCGGGGACGTTAAGCCCCGGAAGCACATCAAGGTAAGGTTTAATTTCCTTGTCAAATTAACGGCCAATTAGCTTAGTCTATTGTGGGAAGTTGCTTTAATCTTAAAACTACAAATACTTGTATTCCTCTTGGAAAAATCGTACATAAATTGCATAGTTCTACTATTAGCCGTTAATGATATAACACTTGCATAGTTGATGAAATAGTGATAAGGTTTGTGATGTGTACCATGACTTTAGCAAAACTTTTTTTGATAGTGCCAAATGGGAAAAAAATGATAAAGGCTCAAAATATTGGGTGGTGTATGAAGTCTAGAGCATTGCTATACCAAAGTGGTTAGTATAAATGGTGTTAAAGGAAATATTGTTGGTGCCTCAAGGCTGTTCTGGGACCTCGGTTGAAGATGTTGGAGCAGGAATAATTGCAGAATTGCAAAAAAAAAAAAAATCGGGAAAGTGATACTTGCTATCACTTAGAGAGGATGGTTTTCAAATGGTATAATTGCCAGATGCAGTCTAATGCTGACAAATACAAGGTTTTGAGGCTAGGAAATGATAGTACAGATAAGAGCTAGATGGTGTGGATTAAAAGAGGGACCAGAGTTTGATAAAAAATGCATAAATGTTCATAATTGGGGCAAATGGGACAGTGATTTGTCAAAGCACTAGTAATAAAATGCCTGGTATTCTCCAGGTATCTTGCTCTTGTTAAAGCCCCATTTAGGTGATGCAGTTCTGGTTGGCATGCTATAGAACGGCTATAAAATAATGCATTCAACGTAGGATGAGTTAACCCCACAAATTGGAAAAGTGTTGTATGAGAAGATTGAAAAGGCATAAATGCATGCCTCTAAAAAGGCAAAATTAGTGACATGATAGGTGAAAAAGTGGACAAATGGACATAAGGGAATATTAATGGGGTATTAAGAGTATGCACAAGACGACCCCGAAACAAAGGGTATGAATTGGATAGTTTAGCTTTAGGAAAGACCTGGGTAAATACTAGTTCGACAAAAGGGTTTTGGTTGAACAAATTAACGCGTAACAATGTGGAAGTGGGATCTCTAGATAAATCCACAAGGGCCGTGATGAGGATTGTAACCTGCGTCAAAGAGCATCACTCTGCTTTAATAGACTGAGCACATGGTAAAATCTTTTACCATGTCGTAGCTCAATCGATTAAGGCAGCGTCTGGGATGCTCTCGGACGCAGGTTAGAATCCTCTTCACGGCCTTTGTGGATTTGTTCATCTAATGCATCACGTTGTGATTTGTGATCCCTAGATAGTTTCAAGCGTAGGTAAATTGTTCAGTATAAGTGGGTGGATATAAGGAGCTGCATTGTATGGGCAACAGCCCTTCTGAAGTTGCCTTCATTCTTATTTTCTAACCTGCTTAGGCCTAGTTTTAATCGGAAGCTAATATGGCTATTAACTAGAAAGTTAATTAAAATATTTCCATAGTGACAGCCAAAGTTGATAACAATGTATACTGTTGACTGAAGTTAAATAGGTGTTGCATCACCATACCAAAGCTTTAATCTTGGTAATCTAGTTTACAGCACTCCTTACTTATAGAACGACAGCTGAAACGGCTGAAACGTCGGGAAGAAACGGAGGAGACTAATATTAACAAGACCTCGTCGTGGATAGTCGTTAAGGACAGGGGTCTTGAAGACCTTGACAAGGCTGCCTACAGACGCCCTAAGGACAGCAAATTCATTTGCCGTGTTGGACGACAAGTGCTGTGGTGAGCCTGCAGTTCACTCGAAACGGAAATCGGTAGGAGCAGCGAAGCGCAGACCCCTCAGGCTGCTCAGAAAGTTAAGGAGGTAGTTTTAATTAGTTTAGTTCATTTATTATGCACCCCATACCCATCTTGTGGGCGGTAGTGGAAAGGGTTACAGAGGCACATAATGGGCTCAGGGACTGAACCCCACAATTCATTTAGCTAAGCAAGTTAAAATCTTGATGAGCTAGTTACAAAATTCAATGTCATCACATCAACAATGGGTTCGAGATCGACCTAAAGTACAGCTTCTAAATTAAGCAACTGACATATGTGGAGAGCTAGTGTCACAAGTTGTTTGTCCTGCACACCGCCCCCCATCCAGTGGGAAGCGGTGGATAGGTTACAATCACTTAGTTACTACCTACAGTTAGCAAACTGGGGATATTTGGCTAAAATTTCTGGTAGCAGATCATTTTGAATGAAATATTGACACATCGCTGGAACATTGGTTATAGAATTGTCTCTAAATTCACGTATCTTTCGGCACTCCATCACAGTGACGGAGGGTGTGCGAATAATTTTGTTGACAGTTTACATTTGGTCAGGTCTACATCAGCAGATAATGAGAATTCCCAGAGATACTTGTAACAGTCTAAGCCGAGCAGTAGTAACATCTAGAAGTCTGCTGGTTTTATTGGGTACCAACGCGAATTTTGGTTGGGAGATTCCCAGGTGAAGTATTTAGACAGAACGTTTTGTGCCAGAGATAGGAGGAACAGATTAAGGGTTTGCTATCCGGGAGCTGGAATTGGTGATATTATTGGAAACATGAATGATATGACGGGAAATGGGAACAAACCCATTATTTGTATTAGTGCAGAGGGTAATGATGTTGGAGTGAGGAACTAATAGATTCAGGACAGCCATTGAATTAGTTAGGAGCAAGGGAGGAATCCTGATCCTATGTCCCTTCAAAGAAAGGGAGTGGGTAATGAATGGATGTTGAGGCTACTTGGTGTCACTTGCCGGCTGGAAAGATATTGCAAATCAAATGCAATATCTTAGACAACTGGAAACACTTCTATGGAAGAAATGAAATGTGTGCTCATGATGGGGTGCATCTATCGAGGGCTGGGGTTGTTGCAAACTCGTTGGAACCAGTGGTTAGAGGTGTTTGTTTGGGTTTAAACTGTTAGTAGTGTTATGGGAATTGATTTGGAGGAAGGAGGTAATAAAAGTTTGTGTTCGTGGGAGAAAAGAATTGGCAAAATTATCAGGGAAAGAAAAGGGCCTCAAAATAAAAATTCACTTAGGGTATATTGCACTAACAGTAGAAGTCTAAGAAATAAAATTAACGAATTAAATGCTCTTGTCTGCACAGAAAAAAAGATTATTGCACATGCCGAAACATGGATAAATGTGAAAATAGAGGACTATTAGCTGAACATAAAATAAATGGATTTAAACTATATCAGATATATTAGACGAGGGGGAGTAGCCATGTATGTTGGGGACAATTTGAAATGTAGTCTCAGAGGGAATAAAAACTGAGCCACCCGCAAACTATTTGGATAGAATTAAAAGAAAGCAAATATTATAATAGGAGTTATATATTGGCAACCAAATTTAGACAGAATGGAAGCAAAGCATCTATGGGATGAAATATCTAGAGCTTCTAGATCTAATAGTATTTGTCATGGGTGACTTTAACTTTAGTGAAATAAACTGGTTGAACAAAACGGAATAGTGAAGCAGAAGATTTTCTAGAATTGAAGATTGTTTTCTTACGGAACGCATTAAGGAACCAACGCGGGAAAATATTTTAGATTTAGTGTTAACTAACAGGGAAACGCAAATTAATGACATCGAAATAGGGAGTGAGCTAGGGAACAGTGACCAGAGAAGTCAGATTTAGCATAGAATGGAATAGACCTGTAGGAGAAAATTTTGTTAGTGCCAGATTTTAGGAAAGCGGATTTTAATAGCCTAAAATTTTTTGGGTCAAATAGATTGGGAAGTCTTGGGTGTGGGCTGGTCTTGGAGACATGAACCCAGCAATAGGTGACGTAAAAGGGGATTTCGATGTAGATTTAATATATAAATTGTTTAAGAATATTCTAAACAAAGCACAGGAATGTAGTATACCATACAAATTGAATAGATCAAATACTAATGACCCAAAGTGGATAACAAAGAATTTAAAGAACCTTATAGGTAAAGAGAGCTTGGTACAAAAGGATTAAAAATGGGGAGGTCACTTTAGAACAGGAATTCATAAAACTGGTTAGAAATGTTAGATAAGGAAAGCAAAAAAAACTATGAAGTTCGCATAGCAGAGCAAGTAAAGTAAAATTCTAAAGGGTATTTTAAATTATATCGAACTAAGACTAGGGAAAGGATAGGTCCACTAAAAACTGACAGGTCAAATAAAGGACATTGACAGAGATTAGTATTTTTAACAAATATTTTATCTGTATTTACTAAAGATTGCTAAATTGCCGTCTGGTGCCCAATTTGAAAACTGATCCACTTTGTGTTTAAATGTTTTGAGTGAATTTCATTTCTTTGGTCCTGCATAAATTTACTCAAAATATTCCTAAAATTTGCCATTTTTGTTAGTCTTTAATTAAATTGTATTTGCAGGTGGTAAATTGTTTCGGCTGCTACAGCTCTCCAGCCCAAGTTGTTGACTGGCTAGTCTTTGACTGCCTCCCAACATGTTAGTGAGGTCCTGAGCTGATGTACCCTATGGCGAAGAGTGAGGCACTAGTTTCCTGAAGTAATGTATAGCATGAGATGGCACCCATTCTAAACAGCAGCCGGCACCAACTCTGGCCGACGTTGGAGTGGACAAGACCCAGATCCTGTGGGGAGGAAAAGTCAACACTAAACTGTAAAAGGTACAGATAATCTGACCCCCCCCTTCCTTGGCAGTTTCTCGGGTACCCCCTCTTTTCCATTTCCTTATTTTGTAAAGCTTTATCTTAAACGGCGGCATAGCTTGGCACTCGTGGCTTTAGTGGGACAGTTCCATTGGATTGTAACTGGGTGGGGGAAGCATCTCTAGTTTTGTTCTGCATTGTAGTCTCTTTAAACCATTTTAATGTTGCACTCAACTTATTGTTCTTGACAGTTTTTGCAAACTTGTAGATTTTCAGTGTGAAGAAATTGGTACCATCCTGTCAGACTTGCAATGTACCGTTTTTATTAATAGCAGTTTCATAAAGGACTTATTGCCTGGTATTAAATATCCTCTAAAGCAGATAAAATCGGTAAAGTGTCCATGCCTTGGTATGATTAGTTGGGCGAATGAGTGTTGTATAACTGCTTTATAAAGTGTAAACTTTTATTTTCAGGGTGTTGGTTTTTCTCACTGAAGCTACCACTCGTGCAATTTTGATTGGTGATTGTGACTTAGTCCTCCTCGTGATCTACGGCAAGGTAATATTTTTAGCATTTATATTATGCTGCACATGCTAAGCTTTAGTTTTAAATTAGCTTGTCTTCAAATTACATGTGTTGATGACCATATTTGTATGGGCTTCATACCCTTCACTTTAACATGAATTAACATCCTTAAGTCGGGCCAAAAAATAGAATATATGGTTCTGCGACGTTTAGTAATTTGTAAGACCTTTTCGCTGTTTTTAAACTATTGGTTTTTATCCATTGTAAGTTATTAAAGGTGCTTTAACTTACCAGTAGTGTGGTAGGTTTGGAAAGCTTTAAAAAAATCCAGAGTTGCTAGAGCTGCTATATTAGGAGCTTAATTTGCAAAGTAAATTTGCACGATAGCCTTGTTTATATAATTTTGGGGAACCAACACTTTAAATATTTAATGGAAATGGTGACTGAATCCCACTTTAGATACCCAAAAATAACCAGAGCAAAGTGTACTTACAAAAGTAGGCAATTGTTCCATTAAATTTAGATAAAATTAATCAGTTTGGTAGTTCCAGGGAGATTTGTGTAGTCAGTCAGTCTTTACTATTGTGAATTGTAGTTTTATTAATTATGCCAATGCTACTTTTTATATTGCGAGTCTTTGCACCTGTTTCCTAAGATTGACAGCATGAGGTGAATCTTCCAGCTTCGGTCTTGGGAAGTTGTAAATAATTAGGTAATATAACTTTTATTTATTTAAAATTAAATTAAAGTGTAGCATAGGCTTGTATCTCCCTTGTGAGAGTTGTGAAACCATAGATATTTCCTTGTCAAAATACTTTAAAGGTTGTAAGTTGTGCCTATTGTAATTTAGCATTAACGTATTCAGTCTTAAAGGGCATGACAATGATTAGGTTTATAATCTAGTATCTTGGCATAGACAACAAAATTGATTCTACTAATACTAAATTGTATAATTATCAATTAACATTGATGCACAATGAATGTGGTACTGCAGTTTAATAATTATGGTCCACAATTTTGTTATAAATTTGAGTGAATATTTCCAGAAAGTTGATTGTGGCCATACCTGTTGGAGTAGTAAAGACAAACGTTCAAATTGCTCTTCTTCATGTAACCCCCAAGCTGTAGGCTGCTGTTATTTTAAGAGGTAATCTTGTTTTACTTAAGGAAAACTGGCCACTGTAATGATTAATCTCTACTCGATATACAGGCTCAATAGTCTCTGTAGTAAATATACTCTATTGTCAATGAAGTACACAAGTCTTAGGTGATCCATTGGCTGAGGAAAGTCAAAGTTCATTGAAATAAATTTATTGAGGTAAAATCCAACAAGGGATGAGGTAGCTACGGCAGTTCATAACTTGTCCTTATTGGTAGTTCAGTAATTTTTTAGCTATGTTGCATAATAAAAATTAAATGGTTGTTAAAATGTTCATTGCACACACCATAATAGCCGTCAGATATTAAATGTCAGACTAAGGGGTGAGATTAGTGGTAAATGTGACATTGATCAGTGCAATGTTACTAGATTCTTGAAACTTTCCCTTGCATGGTCAAATTTATTATGAAATTATTTTAATTTGTATCTTTTGGTTTGGTGTGCAAATGTTATTGTAAGTTTCATAAACTTTCTAATGCGACTTGTTATACTGAGAGCACTTTATGAATATTAAAGTACTTAAGTTCATAATTTGTAAGCTTAATAGTAACAAAGTATACTAAAATGCATTAATATTTTCTCTTGACAGGTGGAGACGCATTATCTGAAATGGCTGTTGCAATGTATTGAAATTAAATTTTATTAAAAACTCTGGGTTAGTTGAAGTCACTTATTGTAAATAGTGATAAATTGTGGTATTTTAGTTTTCTCTAATTTTATTGAAACGAGCTTTTTTCAGTGTTTTTGGAATGTTTAATAAGGTTCTTGGCACCATCTGTGTCTTTACAAATTTACTTGTTACTAGATTATAAATATATTGGTGTTCTGGGCAGTTTATCTTGTTTGAGCAACAAGGTGATGCAAGGCAGTTTTTTTTCCCAACTTGGCTGTAGTTGTTAAAGCCAAACGTAACTTAGAAACGTTGGTTGCAAGTTTGTAGTGTGGTGCATGGGATTGAAGGAATAATCACCGCTCCACATTGATAAGATAGATTCCTGTTGCATTAAAGTCGGCAAGTTGAATAAATGTTTTGGAAAATATTGTAGTTATAATATTGTACAACATTGTGTTAATTAGAATAATTATCATAACTTGGTGAAAGGGTGGTTATTATATTGGTTTTCAATTTTATGACTCTATTATAGAAAATTTTTGTATTTGAAGGTAGTTAAAATCTAATTTATATATTACCTGTTGGTAATATAGTCGCCAAGATCAAACTTAAAGTATACAAGGCATTATAACAAGTCTTTACCAAAGTTCATGTATATTAGGATACTTAATGTAGGTGTACATAAGCTAAAAGTTGAAAAAATGTTAATAGAACACAATTGTATAGATTATCATTGCCCATACTGTAGATATTAGTGATAAGTTTTCTACTAAATGAGGTCCATCTCCCTTTCTGGCTGTCGTTGTCGTGACGTAGAGTAGGGGGGGGGGGGTATACGCACAACTGTCAGATTAGTTTCACTTCACATCTGCAAGGTGACAATCTTTCATAATTTCACATGCAATGATCTTGTAAAACCGACACATTGATTTTAAAAAACAAACCTCACTTTTGATAGACCCTTTAGCCACCTATCATTCTTGCTGGTGCCAGGTGCCCTGTTGAAGAGTACATCCCCCCCCCCTTTCACTCATTGTAATAAGTGAGGCAAGTTCGAGCACGGTGCCCTCAAATGCACAAGTCTTCGTTTCTCTCTGCCCCATGTGTGGGGACGATAGCCACTCTAAGACTGCTCATATCCCCCGGGCTCGCTACCTGCATTGCGGCGAGGCCCACCCTACATTCTCTCGCACGTGTATCGACTCAAAGCTTGAAGTAGTCCTTAACTTGAAACACCAGGATCATTTGACTTTTCCCGAGGCAAGACACGGTTTGCAGTGTCCACCCCTTCACTGGCGTATCTTATGCTCGCACGTTGTTCTACCTCTCGTCCTTCCCACCTTTGTCCCACAACCATTTCTAGGCCTTGGACCCGAACATGCCCACCACCTTCCCTGTTCCTTTACGTCCTGGGTCGGAAGGTCTCTCGTGAATCTCCTTCTGGATTCCCCCCCCTTTCCTACCCTGTCTGCCAAGTCATTTCGTTTTCCCCGATCCTTCCTGTCCCTCCCCACTACCTCTTGGCCCTCCACGTCGCCTGTCTGTCCAGGCTGATGTCCATCATCCTCCCAGCAATCTTGATGTTGTTCACTCCCATTCTTCACTTAAGACCCTAGTCAGTCGGCCAGTACGATGTTACTGGAACACCTGTCCGTCAGAAACGTAAGCCTGGCTCCTCTCCATCCTCCTCCCCCTGCGGGTAAGAAAAGAGACGGCATTCCTTTCTTCCTCGCCCCCTAACTATTGCTTACTCCCCATTTTATTGGTTGGGGGCCCCCTGTCCCTAATGTGGAAGTTTATTTTGGCCAAATTTCCTCTTGGTCGCTGACCTAGAGTTTCTACCCCCTATCCTCCTGGCCTTGACAGCCCCCCCCCTCCCTGAACCCTGTCAATCTGCCTCTGGTGTCTTACTCTTTTTTTCCCTCCATTCTTACTAAGTTAACCCATGGCCCGCTAAACCTTATTCTGATCTTTAGCTTTTTTAATATGCTGTGTTATTTACCTTTGTTTCTTTGTTCTGTTGCTGTCCTTTTATTTTTTTGATAATGTCAATTCCTCAATGGAATATTCATGGGTTTTATGCCAACTCCCATGAACTCCAACTTCTGTTTAGGTTTCACCACTTTGTCTCTGGGAGCCGATGCTTGGTGCTCGTCGTGATAACTGTCGCGGTTATTCCTTTCTTCCCCTTCCCCCCCTCCTTATCTTGCTGGGGCCCCCCCCTTCCCATCCGGCCCGTTGGCGTCGTGAGGGGGCTTGGTGGACGGCTGCCGGAGTGTGATGCTCCGTTGGGCAGTCCTCTGTCCTTTTCTGGCCTTGCACTCCTGCTGCTGTCTTCTCCAATTGTGCCGGATCACTTTTCCTTTTCCTTATGTTTCGTTTTTCTCCCCTTCTCCTATCTGCTTGTCGTTTCCTGCCGACCTTTTGCTTGTTTTGGATTATTTCTTTGGACTTCTTCTATTTTGGCGCCCGGGTGCTTGAGGAGGGTGCTTGTTCTACGGGTGCTCTTGCACCCGTAGAACTGTAGTACCCAACGTCTGAGCGAGGAGAACCTTTTGTCAATCCTCCTTTCGTCACTGAACCCGATCTCGACGGACTGACGGTTCTTAAGGTGGCGTTTGTGGGGCGTATACTCACGACGCACCCCTAGGAGGCCCCGCCATGATCGGCGATAGCTTCCTGTTGGGTGTCCTGCCTCTAATTGTGGCTCCATGGTGGGTATGGGGGCACATTCGTGGATGAATTTGTCACTTTTCGTCTCTGTCGTTGAATGTTTCCGTTGTACCCTCTCGGGCTCGGGGTGGGCGACCAAGCCCCCGAGTCGGCCTGTATTGGAAGACTGGGCTCTGTAGCCCTTGCTGCGTTGGGCCCCGACCTTGCTCCTCCTTTGACCGTCCTGGCTTCTTCCCCCAGCTCCCCTCCCTCTGTGGTTGGGTCGAGCCTCCAGCCCCCAGTGGTGACCACTTCGTCCCCTGGTGCGGCTAAGTCTTTCGTTGTGACTACTGCGCCTTTTGACCCCTCTCTCTCTAGGGGTTCTCAACGCCGTTCGCGCCCCAACCGCACTCGCTAGATTCCTTCCCGTGGATTCTCGACTCCTTCATGTTCCAGGGCTCGTGTATCTCAGGTTGCCCGCAGTGTCTAGCCCGCCTTCAATTTGCTCCCGTGCCCATGATGTTCAGAGGTGTACCGCTCTTTCGGCTGTCTTTGGATGGTTTTTGCACTTGAGATTTTAGGGGTCGGTCATGGTCCTTGCCTCTGGGACTATTGTCTGTCACGGGCCCTCTGCTGCTTTGTGTTGCTTTGGGACTTCTGAAGCGACCGGCTGTCATTGTCGGCTTGAGCTCTGCAGGAGCGGCCGTCTCCCGGGTTCTTCCCTGGTTTTCCTTCTCTGTGGGTAGTTTTGAGATATATACAAGAGTTACATTCTTGTACAGCCACTAGTACGCGTAGCGTTTCGGGCAAGTCCTTAATCCTATGGTCCCTGGAATACGATTCCCTGCCGCGAAGAATCGTTTTTTCATCCAAGTACACATTTTACTGTTGCGTTAAACAGAGGCTACAGTTAAGGAATTGCGCCCAGTAAATCCTCCCCGGCCAGGATACGAACCCATGACTTAGCGCTCGCGGAACGCCAGGCGAGTGTCTTACCACTACCACGGAGACTGCTAGTTAGCTTTAGGGATCCGACAGGGCTCCCCACGGAAAACCAGCACTAAATGTAATGAAACACCAGTACTGGGTGAGCCCCAGTGACTCCCTGACTACCTCCCTCCCTCTGATCAGTGGTTTTCATCATTCAAAGAACTGGGTGGTGAGAGCCTGCAACCCGTCTTCACACTAGGATGTTTAAAGCAGCGGCTGTCCTCCCCAGACACATTCATAAATTTTAATGTACTGTGTATTAAAAATTGGATTGTTCTCTTGTATAAATGAATATTATTATACATAACAAATTTATGTATAGTTAGGCGTAGGTTAGGTTAGGTGTTTAGGTTCTGTTGGCGATTATTTGTATTTGAAGTACGTGGGTGAAGCATTTATAGAATGGTTGTTCGAACACAGAACGTGAGTGAAACCCCTTGTTCCGGAAGTGTTTGGCCGTCATCAGTTGTGAGTCGTGTGTAAATTGCTTTTCAGTCATTAACAGGGGATTTGGCAGCTGGATTATCGAGATTGGATCTTTGTAAGCGAGGACGGGCTGTGGCTTGACTTGCCTAGGCCGGCTCCCCCTTCTCCCCTGTGGGGGATTGGAGCTAACGAGTGGGTAGGGGGGGGTTTGCTTGTTTGCTTTCGGTAGAGTTCTTTTTGTGCTTGTGAAGACGTAGCTCGCAATTTTTAACTAGACTGGTTTATTTTTATAAGCATACTTTTGGGTGTGTTTGGTCCTTTCCTGGTCGATAACAAAATGACATACTTTAATGTAAAGTGTTGATGGCCTTCTCTTCTCTGAGGGGGAGGGGGGTTACCTTACCTTGAGGTGCTTCCGGGGCTTAGCGTCCCCGCGGCCCGGTCGTCGACGAGGCCTCCTGGTCGGGGGGGGGCAGGTTCTGGCTCATGGTCCCTGGTAGGCTTACAAAGTGGTTGCTTTCTGTGGTTGCAACCACTCAAGGTTGATCACTGCGACTGATCACACTCAAATAGTATAGAACTTGATCAATGATATAACATCAGGGAGCCTGCGGGCTCATCCAGAAACTGGCGTTTCATTACGTTCATCGCTGTTTTTTTCTTGAACTTTCTCAATTTTATTAGCTTCTCCCTTTAGTGTTTACCCCTTCACTCCTAAGTTTTGTCTGAAATGCTGTGAGTAGCAGTGGCTTCATTAGTTTGTTACTCATGTCCCCACAATTCTACAATACTACTATGTTCTTCGTACACACATTCTTTTGAATAAAAAAATTAAATTGAATTTGAATATTACAGTTTTGAAACAAATGGTGATGAGCCCTAGACTCTGAAATTTCTGAAACTCTCAAAATTGGGTGAATAGGTCTAATCCAAGGTGACAACAATGTCTTAAAAACTATAAGCTGATTGTGCATCATCAAAATCTGCAAAGAGTTAAGTTTAGAAGACATGCAGTGTGTAGATAAATATGTGTTCAACACAAAGTTAGTGTTGGACACTCCTACTTCTTGCTGGACCATTGTATAATTTGGTCCTGGACTCACTGGAAGACAAACAAAATACTGACAGAGTATTTTTAGACTTGTGAATTAGTTTGGCAAATGTGATATTGGTATAATTGGACTTAAATAAAGGAATAATGAGAAAAGTGTAAAGATGGTTGTTTTTTTCAGCAGCCTCGTGGAGCCTCCACGAGGCTCGTAGGGGGCCTCGTAGCCTGGTGGATAGCGCGCAGGACTCTTAATTCTGTGGCGCGGGTTAGATTCCCGCACGAGGCAGAAACAAATGGGTAAAGTTTCTTTCACCCTGAATGCCCCTGTTACCTAGCAGTAAATAGGTACCTGGGAGTTAGTCAGCTGTCACGGGCTGCTTCCTGGGGGTGGAGGCCTGGTCGAGGACCAGGCCGCGGGGACACTAAAAAGCCCCGAAATCATCTCAAGATAACCTCAAGATAGCCTCTTGTCACATTAAGCTCTGTCTACCAGGGTACTACTGTACTTTCCTCAATACTCTTTTTTTCACATACCTGAAATAGACTCAAATTATAGTGCTGCATTATCTTTTGTTGAGGACACTTAGATCTGCATCCGTATACAGTAGCAAACTTCTATACACTTAGATAACCCTTAGTCTTACAGCGGGCCATAGAAAATGGTATGATCCTTGAAGAAATTCCAACTGCTACTACTGTACTGTGAAAAAACAAAAACATTAATACATAGGCCTATGTCCATATATAACCTATACATAGACAAGAGACTGACGCAGGCGATGAGTCACAATAACGTGGCTGAAGTAGTTTGACCAGACCACACACTAGAAGGTGAAGGGACGACGACGTTTCGGTCCGTCCTGGACCATTCTCAAGTTGATTGTATCAATACAATCGACTTAAGAATAGTCCGGGACGGACCGAAACGTCGTCGTTCCTTCACCTTCTAGTGTGTGGTCTGGTCAAACAAGAGACTGACCTTCAGCTCCCACGTACAACACATAACCAAAAAAGTTTTAAAATGGTCTGTATACTTTCTAAAATCAGATATTATGTTTCTCACTCTTCTCTCCTCTCATTATACTATACACTAATCTATCCCTATCTTACATACGGTATCTGTGCATGGGGTTCAACCACTGCAAATTACCTCAAGACTATCCCCCCTTCCCCTCTATATGGGAGTCGGTCGGCCGAGCGGACAGCACGCGGGACTTGTGATCCTGTGGTCCTGGGTTCGATCCCAGGCGCCGGCGAGAAACAATGGGCAGAGTTTCTTTCACCCTATGCCCCTGTTACCTAGCAGTAAATTAGGTACCTGGGTGTTGGTCAGCTGTCACGGGCTGCTTCCTGGGGGTGGAGGCCTGGTCGAGGTCCGGGCCGCGGGGACACTAAAGCCCCGAAATCATCTCAAGATAACCTCAAGATAACCTCCCTATCCGGCCCGTTGTCGCCGTGAGGGGGCTTGGTGGGCGCCTGTCGAAGTTTTTTAAGCCTTTGTTATGGTAAACCCCCTCATGGTCTTGTTTGTGGACCTGTCCACCTGGGCTGTTCTTGCTGGTGGCAAGTTTCAGAATGCTGAAAGCCGACCTCTGCCAGGTGGCCAGCCACAGCTTCTGGCCTACATGCGGTCTCGGTCTTAATCCGATGGAAGACCATGTAAACGTAAACCCCTGACACACCAGGAAGGGAGAGGGAGGTACCAGGGAGTCACTCTTAACCCAACAGAAAGGGGCATTTCATTAATTTTAATGCGGGTTTTCTGAGAGGGCTTTCTTAGTGGTTCCTTGTTGCTATCTCACCACAGAGAACAAAAACTCAAGGGATCTGCTTGAGCACAAGACCACAGAGTGCCACAGGGTCAACACACTTGGCCACTCAAGGGATCACTAGGCCACAGAGTGCCACAGGGTCAAGAACACTTGGCCACTCAAGGGATCACTAGGCCACAGAGTGCCACAGGGTCAAGAACACTTGGCCACTCAAGGGATCACTAGGCCACAGAGTGCCACAGGGTCAACACACTTGGCCACTCAAGGGATCACTAGGCCACAGAGTGCCACAGGGTCAAGAACACTTGGCCACTCAAGGGATCACTAGGCCACAGAGTGCCACAGGGTCAAGAACACTTGGCCACTCAAGGGATCACTAGGCCACAGAGTGCCACAGGGTCAACACACTTGGCCACTCAAGAGATCACTAGGCCACAGAGTGCCACAGGGTCAAGAACACTTGGCCACTCAAGGGATCACTAGGCCACAGAGTGCCACAGGGTCAAGAACACTTGGCCACTCAAGGGATCACTAGGCCACAGAGTGCCACAGGGTCAACACACTTGGCCACTCAAGGGATCACTAGGCCACAGAGTCAACACACTTGGCCACTCAAGAGATCACTAGGCCACAGAGTGCCACAGGGTCAAGAACACTTTGCCACTCAAGGGATCACTAGGCCACAGAGTGCCACAGGGTCAAGAACACTTGGCCACTCAATGGATCACAAGACTGGTGGAGCTTTACTGAAGTTACATAATTTTTTTCCATACAACATTGTATCTCTTTTTTTTCACTGCTTTATTTTAACAAGATTTTGATGTTTTGAATGTATTAAAACACTGTATACAGAAATTCATGTTTTATTGTTTATAATAATAATAGAGGTTGATTGACTAGTATAGTATTTGAATACATAGGGTACATCTTTATCTTTATTATAAATATTATAAACAAATTAAATAGATGACTAAACGTATTAACAAAAAATTAGTCATCTTTAGGCTTCCTTCTCTTTGCCATATAGCCTGCCAAAGTAGCTCCAATTCCTGCTGACACAGTTGCCATTATCCCAGGACCAAACACGCTAACTTCTTGTGCTAGTCCTGCTAAGATTGGAGTTGTCATGCGTGCCACAGCCGGGATACATTGTCCAAACCCAGTTACTGAACCTATCTGAGGGAGAGAAAAAATAGATTAACAAATGTGTACACACCATTATTAATCTCTTGTGCCTGAAACAACCAAATTGACCTTACACTGACCTCGTAACGTGTTCTCCATCCGGAGTGACTCTGGTGTAATTACCTAAGTGTAGTTACAGGATGAGAGCTACACTCGTGGTCTTCCCAACACTCATTGTTGTATAACGCGTTCAAACTACTGACTGTTTTGGGCCAATCAAGAACCTCCACCACCACCTCACCTACCTTGTTCCAACCGTCTACTTCTCTGTTTGCAAAAGTGATTTTTCTTATATTTCTTCGGCAGCTTTATTTAGTGAGTTTAAATCTATGACCTCATGTTCTTTATGTTCCAGCTCTCGGGAATTCTTCTTCCCTTTCAATTTTATCGATTCCCGTTACTATTTTATCAACCCGTTCTCGCAAATTCGTAAAGTCAATATTGACTTATTAACTACGTGCATAGGTGATATACTAAACATAATAGATACCCTTAAAAAGATTCATAGAAAACACCGACCTTACCTAACCTTGTTAGTATCTTAAGATAAGCATCTTATTGCTTCGTAATTACAATTATTACTTAACCAATACCTATTATAGGTTAGGTAATAATTGTAATTACGAAGCTATAAGATGCTTATCTTAAGATACTAAACAAGGTTAGGTAAGGTCGGTGTTTTCTATGAATCTTTTTATGGGTATCTATTATGTTAAGTATGTCACCTATGCACATATTTAATAAGTCAATATTGACTTATTAAATTTGCGAGAACGGGTTGTATTTTATACATAGTGATCATATTACCTCTTTTTTCTTCTATCTTCTTGTTTTGGCATATATAATGCCTCTACCTCACAGGTCTTGTCCTTCAGTTCTGAGAGCCATTTAGTTACAGGTCTTTGCACCGGTGTACAGTATATCTGTACTTGCTTTTAAATACAAGTTTAAGTTTTTAAGTTTGTTTTTAAGTCTGTTTGTTCATGAAGCTGATTTTATGCTATGTAGTGAGATGATGTGCTTTAGTGGTGAGTTGAGGAACAAACTGAAAAAGTGAAACTTGCGTGAGTTGCTGTGAAAGATACTAGAGCCTGTAAAGTGGCAGACTCACTTGACGAGCCAGGAACTGCTTATAAAAAAAGTAGACTCATAGATTCTTCAATAAAGCAATTATTGCCTTTTATCATAAGTATTACTTGAATATAAAGGATCTGATAAAACTAGATAGTTTTCTCCAAGGAGTGCCGGACCAACCGGGCTGTGGTGGGTATGTGGGACTGCGGGCCGCTCCAAGCAACAGCCTGGTGGACCAAACTCTCACAATTCAAGCCTGGCCTCGGGCCGGGTTTGGGGAGTAGAAGAACTCCCAGAACCTCATCTTGAGGTTATCTTGAGAAGATTTCGGGACTTTTTTTTTAGTGTTCCCGCGGCCCGGTCCTCGACCAGGCCTCCATCCCCAGGAAGCAGCCCGTGACAGCTGACTAACACCCAGGTACCTATTTTTACTGCTAGATAACAAGGGCATAGGGTGAAAGAAACTCTGCCCGTTGTTTCTCGCCGGCGCCCGGGATCGAACCCGGGACCATAGGATCACAAGTCCAGCGTGCTGTCCGCTCGGCCGACCGGCTCCCCCCCCCCCCATCAAGCAGGTTTGATTACAAAATTTTTAGTAAACCACTCTTAGTTATATGTTCCTAGTCACCCATGTACTTTTATTAGAGAATTCTAATGGTAGCTCCTTGGCTCTTGATGTCTAGCAAGCTCCACCCAAATCAATCCCCACAAGACCCCTTTCGAGTCATATGCAAAATTACCGGGGACTAGAGGCCCAAATGTGGCCCCTTTTAATGAGGCACAATGCAAGGGATCATTTACAGTCTCCGTGGTGTAGTGGTAAGACACTCGCCTGGCGTTCCGCGAGCGCTATGTCATGGGTTCGTATCCTGGCCGGGGAGGATTTACTGGGCGCAATTCCTTAACTGTAGCCTCTGTTTAACGCAACAGTAAAATGTGTACTTGGATGAAAAAACGATTCTTCGCGGCAGGGGATCGTATTCCAGGGACCATAGGATTAAGGACCTGCCCGAAACACTACGCGTACTAGTGGCTGTACAAGAATGTAACGACTCTTGTGTATATCTCAAAAAAAAAAAAAAAAAAAAAAAAAAAAAAAAAAAAAAAAAAAAAAAATTAATCGTTAGCAAAGGCTGCCAGAAAGGCAGGCAAATCAAAATCACAACAGTAAGGTAAGTCATGGAATGTGTGACAATGAAGCCCAAGATTCATGAACCACCTGCCGGTGAAGCAACTCTACTAGTAGTTCCACCTGTGCAACACCAGAATTCAAAATTCAAAAATTCAAAATTCAAATGTTTATTCAGGTGAAGTACATACATACAAGAGGTGATACAAATATTGATGAATTTATAGATAGAGCTAGTAAATACAATGCCTAAAGCCAAAGCGTTTCAGGCAGGAAAAATATTAAAGACTAAGACTTAATACTATTTGAGATTAAAGTATAAAATGTGTTCAGAAAATATAAAAATAAAAAAGGGGGGAACATGGCAAAAAAACAGCAGAAATACAATTTGGTCGACAAACAGCATTGTTTAAAAATAACAGACATGGGTTGACATTATAGGGGTAAGGTAGCTTACAGGGAGTTGATTAGATAGTGTTTAGTTTTTATCTTAAACTGGTTGAGAGAGGTACAGTCTTTAACATGACTGGGAAGGTCATTCCACATTCTGGGGTCTGCTCACCTTTACGAATCCACTAAACTCAAAAATTCAAAACCTTGGTCATAGTGCCTGGCACTTAAGTTAAAAACGTTTGCTGTAATGATCCTCTTTCTACCCCAGTGCCTTTCGGGTCTCAGTTTCTCGGATAAAAACTAGCCATCCTACCTTGAGGTCTGGCAATCCAGCAGCGAGGCGGCCGCATAATTCCGGGCTTAACCGGCAGACATAGGTCTGGCAATCCAATAGTGAGGGCGTCTGCATAATAATTCCGGGCTCAACCGGCAGACATAGGTCTGGCGATCATAATAATTCCGGGCTCAACCGGCAGACATAGGTCTGGCGATCATAATAATTCCGGGCTCAACCGGCAGACATAGGTCTGGCGATCATAATAATTCCGGGCTCAACCGGCAGACATAGGTCTGGCGATCATAATAATTCCGGGCTCAACCGGCAGACATAGGTCTGGCGATCATAATAATTCCGGGCTCAACCGGCAGACATAGGTCTGGCGATCATAATAATTCCGGGCTCAACCGGCAGACATAGGTCTGGCGATCATAATAATTCCGGGCTCAACCGGCAGACATAGGTCTGGCGATCATAATAATTCCGGGCTCAACCGGCAGACATAGGTCTGGCGATCATAATAATTCCGGGCTCAACCGGCAGACATAGGTCTGGCGATCATAATAATTCCGGGCTCAACCGGCAGACATAGGTCTGGCGATCATAATAATTCCGGGCTCAACCGGCAGACATAGGTCTGGCAATCCGATAGCGAGGGTGGCAGCTTAGGGCGGCTGTATAATAATTCCGGGCTTATCCGGCAGGCCAGAATTAAAAAAAAAAATCCGGCGGCGAAGGAGGCTGCATTAAAATTTTTATGCCTAACCCGTAGACAATATTTCTGGCCAATCCAACTCGAGGGCGGATACTGAATAGATAAAATTCCCCGGCTTAACCGGCAGACTTAACCTAGTTTGGCAAGCTAGCGGCTAGGGCAATGGTATATAAGAATTCCGTATTAATCGTCGGACAATCGTCTGTCAATCCAGCAGCGTGGTGAGCTGCATAAAAAATCCTGGCTTAACCGACAGATAATAATTCTGGCAATCCATCAGCGATGGAGGCTGCATAAGAATTCCGTCTTAAACAGCGGACAATATGTCTAGCAATCCAGCAGCGTGTTGAGCTGCGTGAAAAGGTTCCGGGCTTAACCGGCGGACAATATTTCCGGCAAACCAGCATCGAGGATACTGAATAAAAATTCTCGGGCTTAACCGGCAGACAATAATTCTGGCAAGTTTAGCGGCGCGGGCAAGGCTGTATAAGAATTTCGTCGTAATCAGCTGACAATAGGACTGTTGGCTGCATAACATGTTCTGCCTAGGCATGACCTAGCTGGCCTGGCTAGAGCGGCTGCAGGCCGCGTGGGAAACAGCGCTGGGCACACGCCGACACTTGGGAGGAACCTAGCTTTTACATTTAGAACATAAGATAACACATTACCTTGGAGAAAGTTGAGTACTGTAGACCGACCCTAGCTTTTCAGCTTGTGAGGTTGAAGGGCCCCCTGAGATAAACTCAACCAGGGTGGGGCTGTGATCGTGGTACAATCGTAGTTTTCATGGCTTCTTGAAGTCCCAAGAACACAAGAGTCCCAAGTTATTCCTTTTTCTTGCGAAGCGAAGCGTGTTTGTAGCGTTTGTAGAAAAAAATTTTTCTTTGACTTGTGAAGCGGGGCGAGGCTGTAGCAAGAAAGAACGCATGTCCCCTCCTCACTTCTTATATAGGCCCCCCGCGGCGCTCCGCACGCTGCGCTGCGGATCGCGCTGTGCAACTGTCTTCTCCTCCATCAGAAATTCCTCCGCATTCCTACGTAATGCAGCGGTTATTTTCTGGGTGATACCCGGAGGCTCTCCAGCAACCCTCACTCCCTCCGGTTTGCGTTTGTGATATTCAGCCTCTGAACTGGGGTTGGGTAGCCGGCGCTGGAGGTGTGGTACCTGTTTAACCAGCTGTAGTTTGCTTTGGGATTCCTACCTTTCTGGGTGCCTGACCTGGTACATGGCAGACATAAACTGCTTTCAACTACATGGGGGTGTCTATCGGTCATTGTTCCTCATGCCTCTCTGAGGGGGGCCCCACGATCTAGCTCGTGGTCCCCGGTAGGCCTAGGAGTCCATTGATTGACTGTTGCCAGGGGTCTTATATTTACACATCAGCCTGGTATAGCTCCGGGTA